AAAAAAAAAAAAAAAATGGACACAACGGAGTGGGCCCATAAGTGTGTCACAGCCACTTCTGTTTCACGGCGCAAGTGGACACAGCTACCCAAGCTGGTTGCAATTGCGCACATGTGGTGGTTATCACTGACACCTTGTTTGGGAAGGCAGACCCCCTCCCCCTCAGGAACAAAAACAAAAAAATTAACGTGTCAGTGTGGCCCCCTTTTGGCAACAACGTACAAGTGTTCATTCAGTATGGGGATGGAATACTTGAAGGAACTGGCTCATGCCGGAGGGGCAAAAAGATTAATTGGACTTTTTCACCACAAAAAAAAAACCCAAGTTTCACCTGTACAGGTTTTGTTTGGCCAAGGGGGCATACTGTTACCTCTGCATAAAGTTATATATGAGGTATGCGAAATTAAAAAAAAAAAAAAATGCCCTTTTGGCCAAAAATACATCAGCCACAGGGAAATACCCACGGGACGAATTTGCAAAAACGTGGTAGCCATTTTGCAGAGTATGCCCCACGTATTTCTTTTCCGTTGAGCCCCTTTTTTCCATAACACAGTTCACACCCTTTCTTTTCTGCCCTTTTGGTCGCTACATGTATGTGCGTGTATTTTGTACGCAGCAAAAACCTTTATCCTCGTCCCTGTTTTCATGCATACTTCTTTACGCGTACAGTGGTGGTGTACCTTTTTTTTTTTTTTTGCGGGGTGGGCGCCCAAGGGCACATTTTAATTTTATTTTTCCTTATCGTGGAGACCAGTTCTTCATAAATTGGTGCTGCGCTATTTTTTATTTGCCCCCTTGTACTTAAAACCTTGCCAATGTTATGTCACATTGCATCATATTATGCCCATATATAATTTTTTTATTTTGTGTCATTTTTTTTTTTTTTTTTTCCAACTTTATGTTTACGATTTTACTCGCCCGGAACGATAACGATTAAGTGTTTAACAAAAGAAAAAAAAAAAAAAAAAAGAGCTATTCGGAGTCAAAGAAAAAGAAAGAAAAAAGAAGAAAAAAAAGAATGAAAAAAAAGCGATTTTTCGTCAACTTCATCAAAATTATGCAATATCACAGTTGAGCGAATTTTAACTGCCATTTGCGCAAACGTAGTATCTTGTGCCAGGAGCTTGTTTCGTCTGCGCGCTGGAAGAGGAAGGCCGTTTTTAAGCCAAAGTTCGTTGCCCTTGTGTATGTATGAGTGCTTGCGCGCGGGCATAGGTGTACACGATCGTATGCACATAACGAGTGCACTTACAAACAGAATCACATCCGTTGACACCCTTTTACACGTTTGTTGTGAGGAACGTTTTTGCAAGCGGACGTGTGCCATTTCGTGAGCCGCGAAAACTTCCCTGGCTGCCCCTTTACGCTGCCCCCTGCTGAGTGTGTACCCCATAATGGAGAACAATGCGGATGTGAAGGCGGTGGCCGATGAAAACAACGGAGATGGGAAAGTGACGAAAAAGAAAAACCTAAGCAGACTCATTGTGGAGGAAGCAACGAACGATGACAACTCCGTTGTGGCCCTGAACACGAAGCGAATGGAGGAATTGAACTTTTTCCGAGGGGACACCATCCTGATTAAGGGAAAGAAAAGGCACTCCACCATTTGCATCATTTTGAATGACAACGACTTGGATGAAGGAAAAATTAGGATCAACAAAGTTGCCAGGAAGAACCTTAGGGTTTGCTTGGGAGGTAAAACGCGCAATGTGCCTCCCGTATGTAAACTGCCCACATGATGGTAGAATCTATCACTTCGCGAGCATCGCTCTAACGCGACTAACATTGCTCTCTAACCTCATCACCAATATCCTTCTCCACCGCACCCCTCCCCAGATATCGTCTACGTGAAGCCGTGCCCCGAAATCCCGTACGGAAAGAAGATCCAGGTGCTGCCCCTTGATGACACCATCGAAGGCCTTGCGAAGGACACCCTGTTCGAGATTTTCTTGAAGCCATACTTCAACGAATCGTACAGACCAGTCAAGAAGGGAGATTTGTTCCTTGTCAGAGGTGGGTTCATGTCGGTAGAATTCAAAGTGGTTGAAGTGGACCCAGATGATTTTTGCATTGTTTCCCCAGATACGGTAATATATTACGAAGGAGACCCCATCAAAAGAGACGATGAAGAAAAGCTAGATGAAATAGGTTATGATGATATAGGAGGATGTAAAAAACAGCTAGCTCAAATTAGAGAAATGATCGAATTGCCTCTAAGACATCCAGGATTATTTAAGACGTTAGGAGTGAAACCACCCAGAGGAGTATTGCTATATGGACCCCCAGGAAGTGGAAAGACATGTATAGCTAGAGCTGTGGCAAATGAAACAGGCGCCTTTTTTTTTCTCATAAATGGACCAGAAGTAATGAGTAAAATGGCAGGAGAGGCAGAAGCAAATTTAAGGAGAGCTTTCGAAGAAGCAGAAAAAAATTCTCCTGCAATTATCTTCATTGACGAAATTGATTCCATTGCTCCGAAAAGAGAAAAAACAAATGGAGAAGTTGAAAGGAGAGTAGTTTCCCAATTGCTAACCCTAATGGATGGAATAAAAAGTAGAGGTCAAGTAGTAGTCATAGCAGCGACGAATAGACAAAATTCTATAGACCCTGCGTTGAGACGATTTGGAAGATTTGACAGAGAAATTGACATAGGAGTACCAGATGACAATGGAAGATTTGAAATTTTAAGAATACACACCAAAAATATGAAGCTGTCTCCAGATGTGAAGCTAGAAGAACTGGCAAGCAGTACACACGGTTTTGTTGGTGCAGATTTGGCTCAGCTATGTACAGAAGCCGCACTAACATGTATTCGAGAAAAAATGGATGTAATCGATTTGGAAGATGAAATTATTGACAAGGAGGTTTTAGAAAGCATGTGCGTAACACAGGATCATTTTAACATGGCCTTGGGTACATGTAACCCATCGTCGTTACGAGAAACCGTTGTTGAAGTTCCTAATGTCAAATGGGATGACATTGGTGGACTGGATGAAGTGAAGAATACATTACGTGAAATGATTCTATATCCAATTGACCATCCAGATAAATTTGAAAAATTTGGTATGTCTCCATCTAGGGGAGTTTTATTTTATGGACCCCCAGGTTGTGGTAAAACGTTACTAGCCAAAGCCGTTGCATCTGAATGCTCAGCTAATTTTGTATCCATTAAAGGTCCAGAATTGTTAACCATGTGGTTTGGTGAGTCGGAAGCCAATGTTAGAGAAGTATTTGACAAAGCTAGAGCTGCGGCACCTTGTGTTCTATTCTTTGACGAATTAGATTCCATTGGAACACAGAGAGGATCTACCCTTGGAGATGGAAGCGGTGCTGGAGATCGAGTAATGAATCAGTTACTAACCGAAATTGATGGAGTTGGACCCAAGAAAAATCTCTTCTTTATAGGAGCAACCAACAGACCTGAATTGTTAGATGAAGCATTACTAAGACCAGGAAGATTAGATCAATTGATTTATATTCCGTTGCCTGATTTAGCTGCTAGAATTTCTATCCTAAGCGCTATATTGAGAAAATGCCCCGTAGCTGATAATGTACCTATAGACTTCTTGGCCCAGAAGACCGCCGGATTTAGTGGAGCTGATTTAGCGGAGCTCTGCCAGAGGGCAGCCAGAGCGGCCATTCGAGATGCCATCGATGCAGAGGAAATGAACAAAAAGTCTAAGCTACAAATGTACCCAAATGAAAAAAGCGAAAATGGGGAAAATGCTCAAACGAATTTAAATGGTACCACTGTGCAGAATAACGAAGAAAATACAATAAAATATGAAATTACGAGACACCACTTCAAGGAGGGACTAGCTGGCGCTAGGAGAAGTGTTTCACAAGCCGACCTAATTAAGTATGACAACTTTAGAATAAAGTTCGATCCTCTGTACAAAACGAAGACAGGTGGCGGAAACGATGATTTCATCATTGACTGGCCCGATGAGGAGAACAACGAGGAACCACAGGAGTACAACGTGGATGATGACTTGTACTCGTAGTTCGCCTAGAGTGATTCTTCTTCGCATAGCTCTACAGCCATACCTACTCTGCCCTGTTGTATACATATCCAATTTTTCCCCGCACCCCGTTATCGAATTCCCCTCCAATCAGCTGTGCACACCTGTGTGTATACATTCCCCCGTGCAAACATACCCATCTGCACGCCTTTTTTTTTTTTTTTTTTTAATTCCCTTTTTGCCATTATAACAGAGTTGTACATTTTTTAATCCAAGAAGGGGGCCAGAATTACACCGCCCGCCTTCACTTCACAGTTTACGTACTTGTGTGTGCACCAGTCTGGGGGCTTGCCCCTGTGTACATCTGTACGTCTGTGTGACTTAAATAAAACCTTTAAAGTTTTAACAAATTTAAGTGATAGCATATTTTAGAAGCGTCCTTTTGCACCGTTTTGGTCAACAAGATGCGCGCAATTATATTCTTAAGGAGGTTCCTGCCTGTTCAGCTAATGTGGCACTTTCGCTTCTAAAAAGTGGAGCATTTGGGGGGGGAGTATCCTTTTAAGGTGCTGCAAGGCGCACCTACGTCTGAGTGTATACATGTATATGTACCTACGTGTGCTCACCGCATGTGTTGTAGGCGCGCAGGTGTACCTCCCCCCCGAACGGCGCGATATTTTCTGTGGAGAACTCCCAACACTCAGAAGATCAACACCAGGAATTAAAAAGGAGAGCAGTGTAAATACCATAAAAAAAAAAGGAGACACAAACACGGAAAAAAACGAAGCCAACTTGCCCGATTGAACGGGTGAGCTCTCTGTAAGTGAAGACAACATGGAGAATCATACCCTTTTGTGAAAAATAAGGAAACGTACAGAGCACTATAAGACGGGGTAAGTATAGGCGCACAAAACAGCCTTGCCGCAAATGACGTAATTTTCCCAAAAAATATTTTGATGGTGGAGTAAGACTTCGGTTCTCATAGGTGTACATCATTATATTGGTCTCCACACACACTTCCAAACGGACGAGAGGGGTTAACTCTGAAATTATTCGGTAGACCTTTGTGGAACGCCACAGCTCACCCTAAAGTGGAGTGCCATTTTTCCAGGTTTAAAGTTTCCGGATGTTCAACTTGTGTAGAAGTAGACAGGCATACCAACGGAAAGACAGTCTACATCCCGTTGCTATAAAATGAAGCGCTTAAAAATAACATTTTTTTTAGCTGTTTAGTTTGTAGCTAGCTAGAAAAAAAAAAAAAAAATTCTACAGTTTTTCTGACTTGTTCATATTTCTTAAGCTTTTTGTTTTGTTTTGTTTTTTTGCACAAATATGTACATATAACAAGTTATTTTATTTTACTATCTTGTTCCAAAAAATATCTGTGTATATGTAGCAAAAATGTCAAAAAGCACAAAATCAATTTATAATAACATTAAGTGTTATAACATTTGAGGGGCGGAAAATGCAAGGGGGGCGTGGACCATGTAACTGGCAATTGGGCTCTTCTTCATTCGGGATGGAAAATTTAAGGGGGAGGAAGCCTCTCGATCAGTTTCGCGCTCATCTTTTCGACTTTTGTCATTCCCGCAAAGCGTATTTTTTTTGCGCACGTGCCTCGCTCTGAGATAACAGGAGATTACCTGAAGATACGTTCCTCCAATGTTATTACACAGCAGCAGTTAAGCCTCCCCGTGCTATAGGCCGCAAAAGTTATAATTTCCTCAAATTTTTTCACCCCTTCATTAAAAGCATACTTAAAGGTAAAAATAGAACTTTTGAATTGTCTATTTGTTTGCAATTTTTAAATCATGTTCGTTGAGTTATTTTGAACTCTTATTTTATTTTTTCTCCTACAGTTTTCTTATATTTTTTTAAAAAAAAATTACACTGCCCGCTATGTCTTATTTAACGAAATTGTTGATTTGAGATTAATCAGCATGCCTGAAAAAGCTGAGCAAGAGTAACGCTTTGTACCGTTACGGATAAAGCGAATTTATGTACCATTCACATGATGGGCTGAGGATACAATATACCCGAAGAGAAAATGTTTTATGCCCATGCTGAGAATTATACACCATTTTTTACTTCATTTATTTTTTTTTTTTTTTGTGAGCGTGCAAAGAGCGTTATACTTCATATTACCCACGCGACATCGCTATGGCGTAGAGAACCAGGTCATTTGCACTAATGTTACTGCAATCAGTTTCAACATTGACATTGTTGACCTTCTTAAGATTTCTAGCTTTGCTCCTGCTGTTAGTAGTGCGCCAGCAATATTTATGCACATGCAAAAAAAGGAAAGAAAGAGGAGGGAACAGAACTGGAGAGAACTGCCCGCTTGCACTCACAACTGACCATGATCAGCCACATATGAGAAAAAATCATCAGACAGTTGTCACACTTACGAAGTTTACGCAAGCGAGGTGTATACAAATTATATGTATATTTATGAGCACAAAACGACAAGACCAATGAGTCGAACGTAAAAAAAAAAATGAGCCGCTTTTCATTTCAAAAGATAGTTTTTAATGACAACAAATTGTTGAAATGTGAAAATGCTCCTAAGGATAATGTCGCTTCGTTTAAAAGCCTTACCACATCACAATTTAGAAGCGACCAAGCCAAAAGTGGGTTTCCTCATGAGCGGGTTGGAAACACCAAACTAAAGTGTGCACCAAATTCTGAAGATAAGCCAAATGGTGCTTCCCAGCAAAAATGTGCAGACCATAGAAGTGGACCCCCTGCACTGAATAGTGCACAAACCTTGGAGGACAACAAAAATAGGGGGTACATTAATTTGATAAAAAAGAACGTAAAAAATGTTATCAGTAATATAATTAATAGGAAATCCATACTGGGAAGGAAAAACAACGAAGACGTGAGAGAAGACAAGAAAAAAAAGGCAGGGGAAGTAAAGAACAAAGGGCAGAATAGCAATGCAGCTCTGAACAAAGAGAGGAACACCAGTGTAGCTCTCAGCAAAATAGTAGAAAATCCTGACACGGATGCGACATCACCAGATTTGAAATCGGCGCCAAAGGGTATTGAAAAGAAGGGGGAAAACATCTCCAACGCGGTTAGAAGCAACCATGAAATTAAGTCCTCCGTTAGAAAAACTTGGATAAACTTAAAAAATGTCGACAAGGGTGTTGCCAACAATGATGCCAAAAATGATGACTCAAAGGTGAATTTGAGGGCGGTGGCGAAAGACATGGTCGATCAGTCAAATGGGGGTATGAGAGAGTTAAGCGGAAGGGGAACTCCAACAAATGAGAAAAATAGAGGCGTAGAAAAGGTCAGCCACGGGGACGGCAGCAGAACCAACAGAAGTAGCAAAGCCACACCACTAACTACCAAACCGTTCATCTTGGGAATAAAAAAAAATGAAAAAATCCCGAATAAGCAAAACGCCTTCACCTCGAGGACCACACACAACAAAGAAAAATACATAGGTAGAAGTACCTCCCCAAGTTTTCTACACAATGACAGCTTTAAAAAAAATTTAAAAAAGACATTAATTGAGACCATCATGAATCCTGACAAGGTGGAACGCACGCCAGAGCTAGCAGCAGTGTTAAGGACAACGCCAAGAACAACCCCAGCCAAAGTGATGAACAGAAGCGGACATCCTGACTTACTCAGAAGGGACACCATGTTAAATAAAAAGGGCTCTCCACATGGAGAAAAAACAAAAAGCGTAATCAAATACCCGTCTCCAATCAATGCGAACAGTGCTAAAGCGATTAGTCTTCACATGAAAGGGGGTAGTAACCTCTTCGAAACGAAACAGGAAATTGTTAGGAGGTATTCTACAGCGGTTCGAAACAGAAACTCAGTACTAAGAAAGAACATCGTAACGAAGAATAGACACCTCTCCTTTTATAAACTAAATGGAGAAGGAAACGAAAAAAAAAAATTATCCCCTGAGCCAAATGATACACCAAAAATGGTGAGCTGTATTAACCACGCGCAAGCTCCTGATAGAAAGGAATGGAGTAGCAGCAGAGAGGATGGAATAGCTTCTCCTAATAATATCTCACCGATCAGTGCAAATTGTAAGAATAAAATGGCCTCTAAAATGTTTCCTTTGCAAAGGAAAAAAATAGACGGGGTAGCGAATTCGGTTCTAAAAAATGGGAGACTGGTTAAGGACACTTCTCCCACAGGGGGAGATAAATATAAGAATAGTTTTGCACCAAAGCAGGGTACGCAACCATGGGGACTACATAAACGGGTGGTGGGAAATAATGATCCGTCCCGTCTGCATATGCCTAAGCGATCTGGAACGACAAATTTTACGATGGTAAATAAGGAATGTTCAGTGCCGAGCAGGATACTGAAACGGTTTGATAGTGTATCTAACGGTCAGGTAAAAAAGGGGGTGGATCTTAAAACGGGCCACAAATTAGGTACAGGTATTAAGAAGAAGCACTTTTTCCCAGTGGACAATATGCAGAAGGTGAGCCATCAGTATTATGGTTTGCCACGTAAAGGTATAAGTACGTCGGAAGTAGACAAATGTGTGGGGGGTGATGTTGATGATGAGAGGGGATATGTGCCCATTTATGCTGTCAAGGGGGAGCAAAGTAGTGGCGAGGTGGAACAATCAGCAAGGGAAATGCCACTCGAGGGGGGTGACCAAAGCGATGCAACGGAGCGACACAGGGGGGAAGCACTTCTAGAAGAGGAAGCGGAAAAAAGCGCTATCCTCGCAGAGCATACGCCAGGTGGAGTAGTCACAGGGGATGAGGTATATTACGACTCATCAGCAGTGAACTCGGCACAGACCAAGTACCGCGAAACAGATTTATATGAAGATTTTAACGACTCCACCATGATGGTGTTAAGGAGAAATTTGGACTATGAAGGGGAGACGTCTAGCTGTGTTACCCCCACTTTGGTAACTCGAGGACAGGATAATTATCATGTCGATACGTTATACAACTGTGATAATTTAAGCGCCCAATGTGTAAAAATAGAAAATGTCTCTCCCTACGAACGGACGGAATGTGGGTGCTGCGTGGGGGAGCCTGCCTATGAGGTGGAAAATGTGGATACACAAAAGGGGACACCGAACGGTGGACCGGAAGAAGCTGAGCCGGACGAAGAACAACCAAACGAAGATGATGAAATTGGTTCTTCTCCCATGGCACAAAGCGACATTTTGACAGACGATGAACTTGTTGATGAGGGTACAGAAAAAATCAGTGGGATGGATGTGCGCGCAAACCATCAGTCGGACTGGCTGCGCACCCTGCTAGGAGGAGAAGTGGCCCAATTGTGGACCGCTGAAGAAACACTCAAGGGTGAAGTGATAGGTGCCCTTGAAAGTGAGAAGGATAAGGTAAATGATTCAGACAGTGAGTTCATCACCCTCGTGCAGGAAGAGAATTTCCTCAAGGATCACTCATCGGACAATGTCATCAGCCATGTAAAAACGAACAACGAGAAAATAAACATACCCGTAAAGGAAGAACAAAATGGGCATGTCACGATTCGAGGTGATTGTCGTGACATGATAAATGAACAAGGCAATGATTACGATGGGGAAAATGGAGGAGTAGCCGAAATAGGCCACAGAAAAAAAAACGATTATGTATGCATAAGAGTAGAGTCTGAAGATGAGGACGTCATTACTGAAAGCGTTAAAATTTACTTAAAGAGCAAAAGCCAAGAGGATGGATTCAAAGACGAATGGGGAGGGGCTTCTTGTAACAGTTGTGTAATTAGCCAAAGTGTAAAAAATGATGAAAATATTTCTGCACAAGTAAATATTGGGCACATAAGCAAATTGGCCGTTTCGCACGATCGCTTGGAAATTTGCAGCTATAATGAGGGGAGCAAAACGGGGGAAGTTATTATAAGGGAGGGGCATGCGGAAGCAGGGAGCGAAAAGAATGACGAAGAAAGGATGATGCTGCAGGGGCAGAACAAAGAAGAAAGCTTATGCACCCAACGTAGCGGCGACGGTAAAGGGGTGCTACCCCCGCGTGAGACGTGCATGGAGGGGGGAACCGAGCCACCTGAAACACACCCCACAAAGCAACTTCCATCTAGGTTAAGAGAGCATAATAACACACCGCAAAATTCTGGGGGCAAAAAAAGCGTTGCACATGAAAAGAGTAGCGTCATTTGTGGAGACGAACAAAGCAGTAAGGGGGGAAGCCATTTTAAGGCAGCCCAGATATGTGGGAAGCATTTTTCTCGAACGAGGCACAAAATGGTCAGGACAAATAGTATGCATAATTTTTCCTCCAAGTACAAGAAGAATTACAACCTCAGTTTGCATAACCGCAAAGTGAAGGAAAGAAAAGTGGCAAACGATGCAGGAAAGAACGAACAGTTGCATACACATGCAAAGGGGGGCGTGTCAGGTGAAGGGATCATTTTAGCGGGAGAAGCATATCCGTGTGCTCAGCAGGGAAACGTTTGTACCAGCAAAGGGGTCGCTGATCAATTGTGCAGTGGGAAAAAAAGGAAAATTGATAAACTGATGATAAGTTTTACCACGCCCAGCCGGGTTTTGAAGAAAAAAAAAACGAAGCCAACTTCGCCCATGAGGGGTCGTTCCACCGGAGGGTTGAAGTGCAGGGTGAGGAAGTCGAGGGGTGGTGGGGACAACAGAAAGAGGACAGGAAAAGAGTTAAGAAGCGGGGAAGAAGTGGCAAACGCGGCAGACGTGGCAGATGCACCCGCCGCTCACCACGCGGAATCCGTCTTCCGCGAACACGAGTGGATGGGGCTGATCCTACAGATAATAGACAACGACAATTTCGAGCTAGCCCAAAAGTTGATGCTCTTGATTTTCGAAAAGGAGGAGGAGTTATATGTACAGTTCGTGGACGCGGAGAGGAGTGACACGAGCACGTGCGCCGATTCTTCCCCCCTCGGTGAAGCAGGCGAGCCCAAGCCTGAAGACGCGCCGAAGAACAGTAATGTGTATAGTAGAGGTGGCGCACCGAAGCAGAGGGGGAAAAAAGTATCCCATTACATGGAGCAAATTGTCCACAGCTGTCCATCAGATTGGCCCCTACTAGATATCGCCATACTGATAATCGTCTCCCAAATTGTATGTTACATTTTTACCCATAACAAATGGAAGTATTTTTTTCAGAGCTGTACTTTATTTGAAAAATTCTGCATTCCCATTTTGTTGAACTCTTCTATAATTAATGCAGAGAAAAATGGAATTCCTATCCTCATGTTTGAGCACGATTTCTTTTTTAAAATATTAATCACTGAGAATGGAGGAGAGCTGTCCTCCACTGCGATGAAATACCGCTGTGAGCACTTAAGGAATGATCATGTGGGTAAGGAAATGACAATTTTGGATTTGATTTTCCTGGCCTTGGGTTCCTACATCACTGTGAGCCAAAATATAAATGAGTATGTGGAAAGGAACAACCTTGAATACTATGTGGACTTGTTTCGGAAGAGAGCCAGTGAAGGGGGGGTCCAGGAGGACAGGCGCAAAAGGAGAAAGAGGAAGCTGCTTCGCGTGAGTAGTGAAATGAGCAGGGATAGTCATCACCCAAGCAAGCTTAGCAAGCGACAAACTAGGGCAGGTGGCCAAAGGAGGACTAGTAACCACTCCAATTACTCCAAAAAAAAACAGCGATTTTCCGAACCCCTGCATCAGAACAAAACAAGTGAAGAGCAATACCTCTGTGAGCGAACCAAGAGGAGAAGAATGACGTACGAGAAAAATGTGAAGCGCCGGCTGAGTATTCTGAGGACAACCAAATGCATCACTGCAGTGGACAAACACTCCATGTGTAGAAGGAGTGCCTATCTTGACACGTGCCATGGGAAGGAAAAAATTCCAACAGCAGACAGTGACAACCGGCACGAGAATAATAAAATGGCCAAATTATTCCTCTTTAGAAATAAAAAAATTGAAAACATTGTGCAGTACCATACTAGGAGTGACTTAGAAAAAATGCTATGCCATATTGTTATTGAAATTTTTAATTTGGTTTATGCGTTTAGGGAATTCTCCGTGGAGAACATTCTTATCATTAGGAAGTTTTTCCGCGTCTTTCTAAACTTTGCGCAGAAGAGATTCATCGGCTTGTCCGTGCGCGCCTACTGTGGGGGAAGCGGCGAAGTCAACTCTGCCACTACCGCAAACGTGCGCGCCGTGGTGCCCCCGCCCCAGCGCATATATGACAACTACTACAACTTGTGGATTTGGGTGGACAGGATTTTTTCACAAAACTTTTACGAGCTAAATAATCTGCTATATGACGTGGGCCTCCAGAAGAACAGCCTGCTGGAAGACCACAACCTAACTGCCAACTATACCAAAATAGAAACGATTAGTAAAAACGTGAAGAGGTTTTCCGCTTTGCAGAGGAGAAATTGCTCCGTGTTGAGGAGATACTGGGGGACCTTTGGGTCGAAGGAGGGAATTGCTGCAAATGGGGACAGAGACGTAGATGGGGTTGTTTGCCATGGAGGTGACGCAGGGAGCATAACAGTACCACGATCACCTTTGGAGACATCCATGGAAGAGGGATCCACCGGTTTGGTATCCCATGAGTGGCTCCCGAACGGAGAGCTAGACAAGGAACACTTGCGCAAACATAGAATTCTCTGTAAGCTAGAAAAAAGGGATCACTCGAAGGACAGACTGGCCTTCCACTTCTTAAATGCAGTCGAGAGCATATACCATGTGTACCATTCAATGGAAGAAATTCCTTCCTTTCTTCATTTAAAAAAAAAAAAATACTTTTCAACCTACATGGGTAGTAGCGAAACGGAAAATGGGAGAGGATCTACGGGGATACCTTTTTTGAATAGACCCATAAATGAAAAATGTGATATGAGCACAAGTTATTCGAGTCCAAGCCAAGTGATGATACTTCTGAATCACCACATGGATGGAAGCAATAATTACGAGAACGGAGTGAATGCCCCATTGGGAATGAGGACTAGTGGAGAAGCGGTGGAGGACAACAGCGATCACTGGATTAGACAGCTGAAGCGGAGGTTAAAAATATACGACATACAATGGCATGAAGAATATGAAAAGCAGTACGTAAATTTGGCTAACTCGATGAAAATGTTAAAAAAAAAATTCACAGAAAAAAAATTGTTTTGTAAAATCATGGAGAGTGATATAAATTCCATTTGGCTCGACAAAAACCAAGTGTATCTTCAGTACATACAGATAATGATCAATTGTAAATTTATTTTGGGTTCCTCCTACGATGAGATTTTCCAATTCATTAAAGGGAACTATGGCTTTGTGTTTAATATGGTGGAGGAGATGCGGAGGGGTCTCACAGGATGCAGGAGTCCTCCATCTGAGGGGAAACGAAGGAGAAAGTTTCAAGACGACAATTTTCTACTCATGGCATGGGAAATCGCGAACTTTTACTTTTGCATTTTATATTACAAATTTGAGCTCAGGGAAATTTTGCAAGAGTTACTAAAATGGATTTCTATTTTTGGTCAACTGGAGGAGGGGGCGTGGCGTGAGGGTTCTTTGCTGATGTACAGGCAGAGGTGCGTATCTTACACCGCGCACATTTTAATTTTCCTCAATGAGTACACCTGTGCGCAGAGGGTGCTGAAGCAGTTCTCTCGGGAGTTCCTGCGAAATGTGCGCCATGGTCAGCGGCAAGGTGTGCGGGAAAATGATACCCCGTTAGGCAGCGATTCGTTAGGTGGCAAACCGCTGGAGCCGCACTGCAGCGAGCAAAGCAGAGCAGCAATCCTCCCCACGTGTAAACGTATAGCTCTACACGCACACACCATCAACAAGTGCTACCTCTACGACAAGTGGATCAACTTCATGATTAGAAAATACAACCGTCTGATTCCATTCCTCCTGAAAAAAAAAAATATCGTCAAGCTAATTCTTTTTAATAATAAAAATGTAAAAATTTTGCTTAAGAAGAAGAAGGAAAAAGTTATCACAAAAAAAGTGATGAGCAAAATGCAACAATTGCAAAAGGTTGTTTTGTCCCTCTATTGTCTTTGCGTGAAGCTATACAAGAGCTATTACGACCACGCCTCCATTTTGCATTTCAAAACTGCCCAGCAGTTATTGGTCGCCTCTAAATATTTGGGCATTCGTATTAAAGAGAGGGAAGTAGTGGTCACAAATTATTGCCCATCGGAGGGTGCAGATGGAGCTGAGGTGAAAATGGGGAAGACGCTTCTAAACGAGTTACCCTACCATGGGGCTTCAAACAATTTTCTAAGCGCCGATGGTGGAGAGAATTTATTTTCTGGGTGCTCTTTTGGCGATGCGATGAATGCATCCCCTGTGGGAGGTCGCGCAGCTTCCGAGTGGGCTTCCCCTGGATTGTATTTGCGTGCGGAGAGTAGTACTCCTTACGTTAGTCCTTACCGCGGGAAAACCGATTGGGAAGACGAAGGCCAAAACAAAGACGATATGTTCTACCTTCATGCACTTGTTCTCAGCATACAGATACAGTACACCCTCTCGGTGTGCATAATAATTTGTGCAGATTTGTTCATATACCCAGCTAAGTTAAATCGACTCGCGGGGGGAAAACGAGCTAATAAAGACCCTCCTGCAATGAGCAAGACGAAGCATCCTCCCCTTTATGTACCTTCATTATTTAACTGCAAAATTTTGCGCAAACATTACAGAGTTATAAATGGGCACGATTTTGTCAGAGGGGGAGGAAGCAATGAGGCAAATCGGGGAAGGAAAAAAAAGAAGAAAAAAAAAAAACTTGTAAGTTGTGGTGGTCTGGGACTGTCTGGTCATATGCACATGTACTACGTGAACTATGTTGGTGGAGGGGGCAGCAAGGGAAACGACATAAATGGAAACCATATAAAGGGAAACGACGGCGGGGGCTTCCCATCAGGGGGGGAGTTACAAACGGGTAAAAAAGTTATTTGCAGTGTTCATCACGGAGGTAAGTGGTGTAACCATGGAGAGGGGTCATACGTAGGAGACGGGCCCAAAGATTCACCCACGGAATTTTGGCAGGACCACCAGTGGAGCAATCAACCTGACCGGGACTGCCTCTCTGACGTAGTAATGGAAAAAACGCATGACTCACTGGAGGGGGAATTGGTGTCTGCACAGAGCGGCTGGCCTAGTGATCGCCTGAACGGCTATCTTAGTGAGTGCCTGCCAGGCCGCTACGAAAATTTCAAGAGGTCAATTGTGAAAAAAAGGGGGAGCAACCTGAACGTCCGTGATGGAAGGTTAAGGGACAACGGGGGTGACTGCACAGTGCGGACGAGCGAGCCAGACCCGGTGGACACAAAAAACTCTTATCACATCCTTGTGCAAATATCGACGTGGCTGAGTAAAAACTCCGCTGCGCAGCTCGCGTGGATTGGTCAGGTAAGCAGCCATCCCGTTGGTACGCGTGTGTGTTATATGCGCGCGCGTGTATGTGCGCATTTGTACGCGTGCGCTTATCGGCACCTGCCTTCGTGCACTTTTGCCCCCTTCGCAGAAGCTTTTTAAGATGTGCCTTCCGGAACTGCTGTGCATCGTCCTAGCCCTCCAAGCCAACATGTTCATGGGGAAGAATATTTTGACGGTAAGGGAAGGGTGTATACTCCGTGGGTATGCGGACACGTGGGGGGGCAACACACCCTACCCCCGTTGCTACCTTCAGGCCACATCCCTGCGTCTGCACACTTGGTTTCATTTGCCCATCTCTGGCCCCTATACCTCCTCCCCACACAGAACATAAAACGAATCGATCGCATACTAAAACTGTGCGCAGAGAGTCCGCAGCTGGTGTACTTCGCAGCGGAGTCATTGAAAAATCACACAAGTAAGGCAAATCGGAAGACATACAAAAATTACTTTAGCATAGGCAAAAGGTACAAGGAAATTTTTGTCAAGAGAAAGAGGGATGTCATCGACTCGAAGGAAGAGCTCTTCCAACTGTGTCGCTATTTTCTACCATGCGATGAGGTGGACAAGGAGAACAACCACAACAGTGCAGTTTGATCAGGGGTGGTGGGCGGTAAAATCGGTATGGTATCTGAATGGCCATTAACATGTGGTTTACAGACCGACGCCCATCTTATATGACTTTTTTTCGTCTCTCCTTCTATACCGTTTTTTTTTTTTTTTTTTTTTTTTTTTTTTTTTTGTACCTT